TTTATGAAGCAAGCCAAAGATCGATATTATTGCGAAGCAATAACCCAAAGGGTCTATTAAAATATGAATAAGCTCCATCATTAGATAGAACAGATTTTATCTCTGCAATCAATAATTATAAAAGATATTTTTACCTGAACCTGTTTAGTGATATGGGATACAGCTTTATCAGTTTCGGTCATTGTAAATATTAAATTATTTTATTAATATGAATTTAAAAATGCATAGTATATGTGCCCAAAATTAATTATCCAAACATTGGTTTTTTTCGATTAGAGATATACATTATTTGGGAATGGCGCAACTAAATATTTTTAACTTATCTGAATTACTAAAACAGATCTTATATTTTTTAGAAATTAATCGATCCCTCTATCCCGCTTTGTTTGTTAATCGGCTTTGGTACAAGTGTGGTATACCACTACTATGGGGGAGAGTTGAGTTAAAAGGTAATGATATTCATTATGGACATTATTTCCCAGTTGAATATAATTATTGTGAACGATATCGAACACTGTTAGAAAGTTTCATAAAGCTGATATGCGAGGAGAAAAAACCTGTCCATGCCTCAAACCTGAAAAGCTTAAAAATTTCATATTATCATTCGATTACACATAAAATAATTAGATCCATTGTAAATTACTGCCCGAATGTAATTCATTTAGATTTTAAAAGTAGTGTGGGCATTAGTGATAAGACATTAATTAAAATAGCTTCATCATATCCAAATTTAAACCATCTTAATTTATGGGATAATCGAATGATAACTGATGAAGGACTATGTCAAATTGCACAATCATGCAATAAATTGGAATATCTAAATATTTCTTATTGTAATGGTATTACTGACAAATCATTAATAAAAATTACAAAGTCGTGCCATAATTTGAGAGAATTTTATTTTAATGAAGCGTATTGGATTACTGATAGAACTATAAGTTGTATTTTAAACTCATGCTCTAATTTACGATGCTTAGGTATACAGGTAGTCGAGGAAAAATCAAAGATGCTAGTATATTACTACAAATGCACCTCAAATTAGAGTACCTTGATTTCGCCCATGTTATGGCTTTTCGAAATAATTCCCTTATTGTAGCTATTATCGGATCTTCTTCAAATTTAAAATATTTTGATATTTCTGGTAACAATATCGGAGATGAGGTTGTTGAAGCAGTAGCTAGTACATGCCATGAATTGGAATATCTTGATCTTGGAGGGTGTGGATTCATTACCGAACTATCGGTATGTAATGTTATTCGATCATGTCCTAAACTTCAGCATCTTGAACTTGGATTTTGTGACATTTCCGATAAAACCATTAAAGAAATAGCCTGTTCGTGTCCTAATTTAAAATATCTTGATTTGGATGGCTGTAAAAAAAATGTTAATAAGAAAGTTGTAAAACGACTTAATCCGAGTATACATATTAAAAATTACAATTCATCATATGAATGGTCCAATTCTGAATCGTCTGATACTTCTGATTCTGATCCGATGACAACACACAGAGCGGGGGTGAAAACACATCTAATGAACAGAATCTAGAAGAGAATCCTATGAGCTCATATCTGCCTCCACCTAATCCAATCTTTACCGGTATAATTGATGAAAGTGATTTTATTTCTGCATTCAGTAATTATATCAGAATATCATCAGGAACGACTGACCCAGAACGGAATAATTTATTTAATAGTATCTTCCAGGAGATTTCATGGCAAGGAGTTTAGGACAGATAATTAATTGTTAACTTTTTTCGGCTAAAGATATATAATATATAATATAAATTGTTATCATAAAAGTGAAGATAGTCAAAGCTAAAGTAGGAATGCAAAAAGTTAATTGTCGCCTGAACCAGGATTTTTGGGGATCTCTATGTGTAGTAGTAAACTTCTCAAGAAAATCGGTGGCATAATTAGCAGAAAGTTGACTCCCGAAGAAAAAGATAGTAAATTCGTCAGAGAAGAAACCACAGCTCCACTTGGATTGACCATAATCCCACCTACATTTATCTCTAACATAAAAAATAATGCCTGTCTTAGTAATAAAAAATCTATCACGATTCCAACTGAAGTACTCATAGAAAATCTAATCCTAAAACACCTAACTATATTTTACTGGGTAATAAGGTAGAAAGTATAATAACGATGAACTTCAAACATACATATCTGAAATTGTAATCGACACAGAGGATGCTTTTGTAAGAACAACTCTGCGTATTAAAGATCTCAACGGATCTGGAGTATCAAAAACCAAAAAAAGCCAAAGGCTATAATATCGGTTAATAAAAGAGATATTCATGATTTTTACAAAATACTTTCTGGGAAATCAAAAGATTCATTGTATCACAGATCAAATATCTCTACAACTTCCGATTCGAGTACTTCAAATGTCGATTCCACATCTGGTTCGGGAATAGAAGTTATATATATGAAACGCCCCATTTTAAAGCATAAAGTAAAAGGTAAAGTTAAATATTGAGCTTTATAGGGCCTTGCCCATGCTTCGCATAATGGAGCTAGTATCTCTGATACAAATCTCATCACGTTATAGGGCAAAGCCCATGAC